CCCAAAGTGCTGGGATTACAGGCGTGAGCCACCATGTCAGGCCTTAAATTTATTTTTTTATAGAAATGGGGTCTACCAGCCGGGCGCGGTGGCTCAAGCCTGTAATCCCAGCACTTTGGGAGGCTGAGGCGGGTGGATCACGAGGTCAAGAGATCGAGACCATCCTGGTCAACATGGTGAAACCCCGTCTCTACTAAAAATACAAAAAACTAGCTGGGCGTGGTGGCGCGTGCCTGTAATCCCAGCTGCTTAGGAGGCTGAGGCAGGAGAATTGCCTGAGCCCAGGAGGTGGAGGTTGCGGTGAGCCGAGATCGCACCATTGCACTCCAGCCTGGGTAACAAGAGCGAAACTCCGTCTCAAAAAAAAAAAAAAAAAAAAAGAAATGGGGTCTACCATGTTGCCCAGGCTGGTCTCAAACACCTAAGCTCATGTGACCCTCCTGCCTCAGCCTCCCAAAGTGCTGGGGTTACAGGTGTAAGCCACTGCACTCAACCTAAAAACAATTAAAAAAAAAAATGAGTAAAATACCAAAATGATAAACAAAACAACCTATACCTATTAGTATGAAGTTCAGAAGGATAAGCATCTAACTCTCAACAGTGGTCATCTAAGGAGAATGCTAGTAGGAAAAGGAACAGTTCTTTTTCTATTTCTATACTGTTTGCATTTTGATAATAAACACGTACTAAGCTAATTTTCTAATTTTTAATAATTCCATTGGATATAACTTTAAAGTTAAACTCCAGGTACTAATAGACTTAAGTTCTCAAGTTGCCTTTAAAAGAAAGTTTTGAGGCCGGGCGCGGTGGCTCAAGCCTGTAATCCCAGCACTTTGGGAGGCCGAGGCGGGTGGATCACGAGGTCGAAAGATCGAGACCATCCTGGTCAACATGGTGAAACCCCGTCTCTACTAAAAATACAAAAAAACTAGCTGGGCGTGGTGGCGCATGCCTGTAATCCCAGCTACTTAGGAGGCTGAGGCAGGAGAATTGCCTGAGCCCAGGAGGCGGAGGTTGCGGTGAGCCGAGATCGCGCCATTGCACTCCAGCCTGGGTAACAAGAGTGAAACTCTGCCTCAAAAAAAAAAAAAAAAAAAAAAAAAAAAAAAAAAAAAATAAAAGAAAGTTTTGCTGAGCACAGTGGCTCACACCTGTAATCCCAGCACTTTGGGAGGCTGAGGCAGGAGGATCACATGAGCTTAGGTGTTTGAGACCAGCCTGGGCAACATGGTACGATCCTATCTTGACAAAAAATAAATAAAAAGTTAGACCTAGATGTAGCTTCTCTACTCCCTCTCATATCTCTGCCTGGTTTGGACCACCTGCCTCCACTCTTGCCTCTACCATGTTCACCAGGGTGACCCAGACATCCTACAAGGTATTGACTCTGGTCCCTGCATCTTCAGCAGCTGCTTCTACATGAGTGAACCCAGTGCCCACATTAGCTCCTCAAGGCTCTCCCAAGTGGGTAGTAGCAGTGCTTCAGGGATGGCCTGGGTGCTGGCATGGGTCTGGGTGGAAGCTGTATTGCAGGACCAGTGGTAATGGGGAGCATCACAGCCATCATGGTGAACCGGAGCCTGCTGAGCCCCCTCAAGCTGGAGGTGGAACTCAACATCTAGGCCATGTGTGCCCAGGAGAAAGAACAGATCAAGACCCTTAACAGTAAATTTGCCTTCTTCACAGACATGGTACAGCTCCTGGAGCAGCAGAACAAGATGCTGGAGAGCAAGTGCAGCCTCTAGCAGCAGCAGCAGACAGCGCAGAGGAACATGGACAACACGCTTGAGAGCTATGTCAATAACCTTCAGCAGCAGCTGTACATTCTGGGCCAGGAGCAGCTGAAGCCGGAGTCGGAGCTTGGCAACATGCAGGGGCTGCTGGAGGACCTCAAGAATAAGGATAAGGATGAGATCAATAAGTGTACAGAGATGGACAATGAATTTGTCTTCATCAAGAAGTTTATGGACAAAACTTAGTGAACAAGGTAGAGCTGGAGTCTTGCATGGAAGGGCTGACTGACGAGATCCATTTCCTCAGGCATCTGTATGAGGAGACCCAGGAGCTGCAGTCCCAGATTTTGGACACATCTATGGTCCTGTCCATGGACAACAGCCCCTCCGTGGACACAGACAGCATCATCACTGGGGTCAAGGACAAGCATGAGATCGCCAACTGCAGCTGGGCTGAGGCCGAGAACATATACCAGATCAAGCATGGGGAACTGCAGACACTGGATGGGAAGCATGGGGATAATCTGTGTCACATGAAGATGAAAATCTCTGAGATGAACCAGAACATCAGCCAGCTCCAGGCTGAGACTGAGGGCCTCAAAGGCCAGAGGACTTCCCTGGAGGCTGCCATCACAAATGTCGAGTAGCGTGGGGAGCTGGCCGGTAAGGACAGCAATGCAGCTGGGTGCAGTGCCTCACATCTGTTAATCTCAGCACTTTTGGAGGCCAAGGTGGATGAATTGTTTGAGGCCAGGAGTTCGAGACCAGCTTGGGCAACACGGCGAAGCCCCGTCTCCAACAAAAATGCAAAAATTAAGTCTTATAACCCAGTCTCAAAAATATAAAAATTTTAGGCCAGGCGTGGTGGCTCAAGCCTGAAATCCCAGCACTTTGGGAGGCCGAGGCGGGTGGATCACGAGGTCAAGAGATCGAGACCATCCTGGTCAACATGGTGAAACCCCGTCTCTACTAAAAATACAAAAAATTAGCTGGGCATGGTGGCATGTGCCTGTAATCCCAGCTACTCAGGAGGCTGAGGTAGAATTGCCTGAACCCAGGAGGCGGAGGTTGTGGTGAGCCGAGATCGCGCCATTGCACTCCAGCCTGGGTAACAGGGGCGAAACTCCGTCCCAAAAAATAAATAAATAAATAAATAAAAATTTCAAATTAAAAAAAAAAAAAAAAGATACCACACCCCAAGCTGGCATACCAGGAGCTGAAGAACATCAAGCTGGCCCTGGACACAGAGGTCACCACCTACAGGAAGTTGCTGGAGGGCAACAAGAGTAGGCTAAAGTCTGGGACATAGAACATAAGCATAAAGACCACCAGTGGCTACTCAGGTGCGCTGAGCTCGGCCTGTGGGACCTCACAAGCCCTGGCCTCAGCTATGGCTAGGCTCCAGCCTTGGCTCTGGTTGGGGCTCTGTCTCCTTCAGCCACACCAGCTCCTCCAGAGTTCCTCCAAGGCCGTGGTTGTGAAGGAAATAGAGACCCGAGATGGGAAGCTGGTGTCTCAGTCCTCTGATGTCCTGCCCAAGTAAATCGGCACAGCAGCCCCTCCCAGTCCACCCCTTCCTGTGGATGCCACAGAGCCTGCGGAAGAGGCCACTGTTCAGGGAAACATAGGGAACAGGAGTGAGCATAGCCTCACAAGTGAGGCTCAGTCCTAGGCCTCAGCCCACTCGTTGGGGGAGTTCATTGTCTGGGGTACCCCCCTGGCCTATGACTCCAGCTACAAAACAATTTATTATTTTCCAGAATAAAGCCTCAACTGGCTCTACCATTTAAAAAAAAAAAAAAAAATTGCCAGGCTGGGTGGTGTGTGCCTGTGGTCCCACCCACTTCGGGGGCTGAAGTGGAGAATCACTTGAGCCCAGGTAAAGGTTGCAGTGAATTGTGATTGCACCACTCCACGCCAGCCTGGGCAACAGCACAAGCCTGTCTCAACACTAAAGTTTTAATAAGCGTTTCCTCACAAAAGCATGCATGAGTAGATGGTTTAGTTAAGGTAAATGCCTGTGTCATCCAGCTAACCTGAGATGCTATTAGGCTTACCCCACCATAAAACTGCCTGGCCCATCCATAATGCCTTAATCCAAATTAGAGGTACACTCTCTAATCCGGAAATTGTTGACAAGTGTGGTATCACAAGAGCTGGCACCCCAAAGCACAGTATCTTACGATTTTCAAACTTCTCCCTACCTGCTACTAACTGAATACTGGGCCCACATCAGCACTTTTCTTTCAGAGCCTGATTCTCTATTCCTCCAACCCCCTCTTCAAGAGTGCTATGAGGATTGGGGGTGTCTATCAAGACCCCCTCAGCAACCAACAGCCATTCCAGAAAAGCTGATGTAACCAAGGGCTGCCAACAAGAGCAGCTTCCCAGCACGATGTTTTAGTAACCTTAATGAGGCAGAGAGCATCACCTCCCACAAATTCTGGTTGGAAGAAACAATCCAGATTGTGGAAAAGTACAACTTAAAAAGCAAACACCACAGGCTCCAGTAGAGCAGGAAAGCAAGCAGAGATTTCTAAATACAAAGCTCAATTGTAAGAGTTCACTGTACCTTAATTCTCACTATCATCATTTGCTCTGTCAAAAATAGAACGTTCCATGTCTTGATCCATTCAGAATAAGCCACAGCAGGAACAGCTCTGCTTCCACAGGGCAGCCAGGTCAGAAAGGCCACACAGGGAAATGCAAAAGGCAGCCAGCAGGTTTTCTTAAGGATTATACTCCTCTGGGCTTTTATCCTTCTTCCCAGCTATTCTGGCGCCAAGAAAGCTGCAGGGAGGTCTTTGCTCCGCTCTGAAAAAGCTTCAATCTTTTCACCGGCAAGATTGAAGCAGTCTCAGGGCTGGAACTCCCTCTGCTGCCCAGTGTTTTCTTTGCATGCTGTAGTTAGTTTAATGAATTTCAAACTCACAGTGACTCAATGAGAGTGTTCAGCAAATACTGACACCATTAAATAATGTACCCAGCCTATTTAGGTTAGAAACTCTGGTATTCCGGGATCCAGAACTAGAAGTGTTAAAGACACCTGTTAGTGCAATAACCCTTATTTATTTTTGTGAACCCTCCCTTTCTCCACATCCCAATACTGGAAGCTCACCTGTCAGGCAAAATTCCTAATCTGCCTCAAAATCTACAGGTCCAAGATCTGAGAATACCAAGTGCTCAAGGCAACTGCCACCCTTCAGAAAACCACAGTAAATACCAACAACAAATGGTGTTACTGTGCAAAAAGTCTCCACCACTGAACAGAAGCAATGTAAATGTTTTAATACAAACAATCCCATAGCATTTATTGACATCTTGTAATAACATAAGAGTAATCAAAACAATACGAATAAATGTTCACACTGGACAAAGGACATCTAAAAACAAAATGTATCCTTCTCAACAATTTCTCACTTCACTGATCATTTCTAGTTGGAGACACTTTGTAGCAGAGTAATATTATCTCCTTTTAGCATGATCCGACCTGCAACACAAAAACAAAAAGCTATTAATAGCCACAGACTCATAAATTTGTATCCAGTTTTTGAACAATATTTTGAAAATGCTTTCTTAGAGAAAATACGTGAACATGGCCGGGCACCATAGGCTCACACCTGTAATCCCAATCACCAGATCAGGAGTTCAAGACCAACCTGGCCAACATGGTGAAACCCCGTCTCTACTAAAAATACAAAAATTAGCTGGGCATGGTGGCATGCCTATAATTATAGGCCTATAGCCTATAATCCCAGCTACTCCAGAAGCTGAGGCAGGAGACTTGCTTAAACCCAGGGAGGCAGAGGTTGCAGTGAGCCGAGATCGCAGCACTGCACTCCATCCTGGGTGACAGAGCAAGACTCTCTCTTGGGGAAAAAAAAAGTGAACATTTTCAAGTGTCCATGTGGTGAAAGGCTTTCTGGCTCCATTAGAGTAGATTCACCTTTTCAACAACAACCTAACAAAGGTACATAATATTTCATGACAAGTACCATTTCTGCAGACTAAGTCACCTCAATAGGCTTCATCCAACATTTCCCAATGCCAAGTTTGGAAATGAGTCGTATGTCAAGTTGAGGAAATACAGCATATTATAACTCCATTCTTAAAGCTGTTAGTATATAAAAGACTCCAACCAGCCAGGCAAGGTGGCTCATGCCTATAATCCCAGCAGGTTGGGAGGCTGAGGCGGGTGGATCACCTGAGGTAAAGAGTTCAAGACCAGTCTGACCAACATTGAGAAACCCCGTCGCTACTAAAAATACAAAATTAGCCGGGCATGGTGGCACATGCCTGTAATCCCAGCTACTTAGGAGGCTGAGGCAGAAGAATCGCTTGAACCTAGAAGGCAAAGGTTTCAGGGAGGAGGAGGTCTCGGTGAGCCGAGATCATGCCACTGCACTCCATCCTGGGCAACAAGAATGAAATTCAGCCTCAGGAAAAAAAAAACAAAAACTTTTTTCTTCTAAGAAATCTGTAACATCTTCAGGAACACTGGTGTTCACTTGCAGAACAGTTTTGAGACATATTAATCAACAGTAATTGAACTGTTTTACTTTCCCAGGTTTCTATAGGTATTATTATTATTATTATTATTATTTTATTATTTTTTTTAAGATGGAGTCTTGCTGTGTCGCCCAGGCTGGAGTGCAGTGGCGCAATCTCAGCTCACTGCAACCTCTGCCTCCCAGGTTCAAGCAATCCTCCTGCCTCAGCCTCCTGAGCAGCTGATACAACAGGCACATGCCACCACACCCAGCTAATTTTTTTGTATTCTTAGTAGAGACAGGGTTTCATCATATTGGCCAGGGTGGTCTCGAACTCCTGACCTCATGATCTACCCCTCAGCCTCCCAAAGTGCTGGGATTATAGGCGTGAGCCACTGTGCTCAGCTGCAATAATAATATTCTATTCCACAGGATAAATACTACCATGGAAATTCAACACTTGGTCAATAATTTATAAATAATGTGACCTCACTAAGGCTAAGCTTGCCCTTCCTGGCAAGATATCTTTAAATCTAAAAAAAAAAAAAACCACTTGGGTGCCATCTCTACTAATATATAAAAAATTAGCCAGATGTGGTGGTATGCACCTGTAATCCCAGCTATTGCTTGAACCTAGGAGGCGGAGGTTACAGTGAGCCGAGATCACGCCACAGCACTCCAGCCTGGGCAACAGAGCAAGCCTCCGTCTCTAAAAAAATAAAAATAAATCTAAAAAATCCAGGCTTTCATAAAAATAGTCTGATCAAACAGCAACTAGCAAAACACCATACTGCTTCTGAGAATCTACTTTCCACGTATTTAGTGTAGGTTCGAGAGAATCCTGAGGTCTGAGAGACACCTGAAACCCATCCACTGATAAAAGTATTAGTATTAGTGAGCATTTAACAAATAAAGACAAAATGCCTAAATAAACCTCAAGTGAATGGGATGTTAACAGAAATGATTCAGTGTGTCTTGATGAAACCATGAATTCTAGGACCATTCATTAACTGGGTTAAGAAATACCATTCATTGCGAGGCACAATGGCTCACACATGTAATCCTGGCATTTGGGAGGCTGAGGCAAGCAGATTGTTGAGCTCAGGAGATTGAGACCAGCCTGGGCAACACAGTGAAAGCCCATCTCTACCTAAAATACAAAATATCAGCCAGATGTGGTGGTGTGTGCCTATAATCCCAGCTACTCGGGAGGCAGAGGTAGGAAAATCACTTGAACCCGGGAGGCAGAGAGTTGCAGTGAGCCGACATAGCACCACTGGGCGACAGAGCAAAAGATAAGACTCCGTCTCCAAAACAATAAAAAAAAAAGAAATACCCTCCATTGTTCAAAATTTTTTGAGTTTCTATTTCTATTATGTGCCAGGCACTGAGATGAGTACTGAGTATACTAGGAACCAAAAAGACATGACTCATGCACTTATGATGAAGCATCTGATAATAGGAGAGACATGAATAAAATAAACCCACTAATAAATGTTTTATTACAAACTCAGGGAGCACATAATCCTGCCTTCCCCTATCCCCAGCAAAACCAAATTAAACTGAACTTTTTGAGCAGGGCTTCCTAACTACTGGGACACAGATCAGTACTGGTCCTGATCCCTGTTAGAAACTGGGCCACAGAGCAAGAGGTGAGCAGCCGACTAGCAGCTTCATCTGTATTTACAGCCACTCCCCATCACTAGCATTCCCGCCTGAGCTCTGCCTCCTGCCAGGTCAGCAGAGGCCTCAGATCCTTACAGGAGTACAACTAGTTCACATCTAGGACTCATGAGAGCCTAATGCCTCATGATCTGTCACTGTTCCCCATCACCCCCAGATGGGACCACCTACTGTGGGAAAACAAGCTCAGGGCGCCCACTGATTCTATATTATGGTGAGTTACGTAATTATTATACGTTACAATGTAATAATAATGGAAATAAAGTTCACTATAAATATAATGTGCTTGAACCATCCAAAAACCATCCCCACACCCCAGTCCATAGAAAAATTATTTTCCATGAAACCGGTCCCTGGTGCCAAAATAGTTGGGGATCGTTGTCTTAAAGGAAGTGATATTTGATCTGAGCTCTAAAGACACAAGGACTATCACATACAAAGATTAATGGGCAAGTGTGCAGATTCAAAGAACTGAAATAAGTGGTGCTGGAGCTCAGAAGGTGGGGCACAGTGATATGAGGTTAGCAGAGGGAGCGAAGACTAGATCATGAAGATCATTTAGATATGCAGAATCATTAGATGTTTTTTAATCCTAAGAGCAACAGGAAGTCATTGAAGAATTTCAAGCAAAGGGATGACATGGTCAGACTAGTGTTTTTAAAGATGACTGAAGCCTGGAAAGAAAACTAGAGGTAGCTGCAAAGAAATCAATTAGTAAGCTGAATGAAAAGTGGTGTCATTCAATAAGACAGGAAATAATACTACAATAGCTCTAAATTGTGTGCGCTGGAATTGAGTTTGCTTTCTGATACGCCTCGCTGACTTTGAGAAGCCTTTGAAACATTCAAGTAGAAATGGTGACTAGGCTCAGAGAAGTCTTGGCTACAAATCTGGGAGTCAACATATAGGTGGTAATTGAGGCTGTACTCCAATGTCTAGGTAGACAATACTGAATGACAGCAAGGCCTAGAACCAAGCCTGGAGCAACTCATTTAGTGACTGCGTCCCAAAGAATGAATACACAATTCTGAAAATAGCCGGAAATGAAAAATAAAAACCCAAGTGTAATATCGTAAAGCCAAGGTGTGATACTACAAAATATGTATTTGGTCTTCAATCCCATACAACTCCTAAAATCCTTAGAATCTCTAGGTGTTGCCTTTTTGTAAGCTAATGACTGACTGATGGCCAGCACTTCCTAGTTCCAGGATGGGAGTCGGTCACTGAAAGGACCAAGGCATGATTAGTGAGGTCAGACCTTCAGCCCCACCCTCCAACCCAAGGAGGAGGAGAAGCTGAAGGTTAAACTGATCACCAGTGGTCAACGGTTTAATCAGTCATACCTATGTAATGAAGCTTACATAAAAACTGAAAACAGCCGGGTGCGGTGGCTCAAGCCTGTAATCCCAGCACTTTGGGAGGCCAAGGCGGGTGGATCACGAGGTCAGGAGATCGAGACCATGCTGGTCAACATGGTGAAACCCTGTCTCTAATAAAAATACAAAAATTAGCTGGGCGTGGTGGCGCGTGCCTGTAATCCCAGCTACTCAGGAGGCTGAGGCAGGAGAATTGCCTGAACCCAGGAGGCGGAGGTTGCGGTGAGCCGAGATCGCGCCATTGCACTCCAGCCTGGGTAACAAGAGCGAAACTCCGTCTCAAAAAAAAAAAAAAAAAAAAAAAAAAAAAAAAACTGAAAACAGGCCAGTTGCAGTGGCTCACGCATGTAATCCCAATACTTCGGGAGGCCAAGGAGAATGGATCACAAGATCAGGAGTTTGAGACCAGCCTGGCCAACACGGTGGAACCCCACCTCTACTAAAAATACAAAAATTAGCCAGGCATGGTGGCGGGTGCCTGTAATCCCAGCTACTTGGGAGGCTGAGGCAAGAGAATCGCTTGAAGCTAGGAGGCAGGTGTTGCAGTGAGCCAAGACCACACCTTTGCTTTCCAGCCCGGGCGACAGAGCGAGACCTCGTATCCAAAACAAACCCTGAAAACAATGGGATTCTGATAGCTCAACATGTGTAGGTTCCTGGAGGGCAGTGAGCTTGAAGAGGGCACGAAAGCTGTGCATTCCTTCCTATATGCCTTGTCCTACGCATCTCTTCATCTGTATTCACTGGAGTATCCTTTATCACACCAGTAAATGTAAGTATTTCCACAAGTTCCATGAGCTGCTCCAGCAAATTAGTCACGCCAGAGGGGTCATGGAACCCAATTTCTAGCCATTCAGTAGGAAGCACAGGTAAAACAATCTGGAGCTGACAACTGGTACCTGGTGGAGGGTTGAGGGGCAGGGAAGGGAATCTTGAGGATTGAGCCCTCAGCCTCTGGGAACTGACACTATCTGCAAGTAGACAGTGTCAGAACTGAACTGAACTTGAGGACTCCAAGCTGACATCCACTACCGAACTGATTGCTTGCTTGGTGTGTGGGGAAACATGTCCACACATCTGGTCACAGAAGTCTCCTGTGTTGATTACTGTCAACTGAGGAAACAGAAAAAGCTACCTGGGTTTTTCCCCCACTCAGACAAGGGAACAAAGCACTTGAAGGTGGGAGACCCAACAGTGCCAAATGCTGTTGAGAGCTTAGTAACATAAGGATTAGTACTGACCATTACATTTAATGCCCCTAGTCTTTGGTTTCCTTGGTGAGAGCTCTCTGGGTGGAGATGCCAAAATGGAGTGTGGTGAGAAGTGAGTGGTAGCGGATGATTTTTGTGTATTACTACTCTGAATAATAACTTCTCAAATGCAGACTAAGTTTAAACATGAACTGAATTGCAGGTTGTTGAATTCTGCAAGTGAATAAAACATTTCTAGAATTCTGTAAGACCACTTGTATCCTTACCCAGTTGTTTTCTTGACTTTGTTTTAGAATGAATCTCTTCTGCATCATCTAATACGAGGTTCATATACTCATCAAAACCCTAGAAAAACAAGCAAACTATTGTTTTCAAAGAAAATGACATCCATTTTAAATGAGTATACCCATCCCAATACAAAAATCTAACTAACTTTAAAAATTCACTGATCTGGAGCCCCACCCGACCTTCCACCCAAAGCCTTTCTTTTTTGTTTTGAGAAAGGCTCTTACTTTGTCTCCCAGGCTGGAGTGCAGTGGTGTGACCTCAGCTCACTACAGCCTCAACCTCCTGGGTTCAAGCGATTCTCCTGCCTTAGCCCCCCAAGCAGCTGGGATTACAGGGCGCACCACCATGGATGGCTACATTTTGTATTTTTGGTAGAGACAGGGTTTCGCCATGTTGCCCAGACTGGTCTCGAACTCCTAAGCTAAAGTGATTCATAGCGTTTGGCCTCCCAAAGTGCTAGGATTACAGATGTGAGTCACCGTAAATTTAAAAATTAGCTGGACATGGTGGTATATGCCTATAGTCCCACCTACTAGAGGCTGAGGTATGAGAATCACTTGAGCCAAGGAGTTCAAGATTGCAGTGAGCTATGACAGCACCTGGGTGACAGAGCAAGATCTAAAAAAAAAAAAAAAAAAAAGGCGGGGGGGGGGGAGGTCAAGTGCAGTGGTTCACGCCTATAATGCCAGCACTTTGGGAGGCCGAGGCAGGTGGATCACAAGGTCAGGAGATGAATCCAGGCCAACATGGTGGAACACCATCTCTACTAAAAATAGAAAAAAAATTAGCTGGGTGTGGTGGTGTGCACCTATAGTCCCAGGTGGATCCACCTGAGGCAGGTGGATCACGAGGTCAAGAGATTGAGACCATCCTGGCCAACATGGTGAAACCCCGTCTCTCCTAAATATACACACACAAAAAATTAGCGGGTCATGGTGGCACATGCCTGTAGTCCCAGCTACTCAGGAGGCTGAGGCAGGAGAACTGCTTGAATCTGGGAGGTGGAGGTTGCACTGAGGTGAGGCAGGAGAATTGCCTGAACCCAGGAGGTGGAGGTTGCAGTGACCCAAGATCGTGCCACTGCACTCCAGCCTGAAGACAGAGCGAGACTCTGTCTCAAAACAAACAAACAAACAAACAAACATTACTTAGGGTATCCTGCTATCCCAGAAGCCTTATTTAACTAATCTCCCTGAGCTCTATTCAGGCACCACCTAACCCACAACAAATAGCTCCATTAGTCCCCACCCTCCCTAATTTCATTTCTTTTGTCCCCTCTCTCCATACTAACACTGTTGCTCAAATAATGTTTTTTCAAATAATTTTTAAAAGTTAGTTTTCAGCCAGGCATTGTGGCTCACGCCTGTAATCCCAAGACTTTGAGAGGCCGAGGCTGGAGAATCACTTGAGTCTAGGAGTTTGAGACCAGCCTGGGCAACACAGTGAGAACTCATCTCTATTAAAAATTTAAATTTAGTGGGCTGTGATGGTGCACACTTGTGGTCCTAGCTACTTGGGAGGCTGGGGCAGGAGGACTGCCTGAGCCCTGGAGGTTGAGGCCTCAATGGGCCATGATTGTATTACTGAACTCCAGCCTGAGCAACAGAAGACTGTCTCTCAAAAAATAAATATATAAATACAAAATCTCTTCTCAGCACAGAGGAAAGAAAATGAATCAAAAGTTAATTTTCCCTGTCTTTTTAAAATTACCCAAAATTAAATTACATTCTGTGAAGTCTTTTTCCACGACCAAACTGCTATGAGATACAATTGCCTGTATACTCACAATGATACAGCCTTCTATCCGCATATTCACTTGCTCATAGAGCCACACCTGAATCCGTGATCTCTGAAATAATCATAAAAATGGAAACGTTAAAAAAAGAAAAATAGGGCCAGCCACGATGGCTCATGCCTGTAATCTCAGCACTTTGGAAGGCTGAGGCAGGTGGATCACAAGGTTAACAGATTGAGACCATCCTGGCCAACATGGTGAAACCCCATCTCTCCTAAAAAAAAATTAGCAGGGCGTGGTGGCACAAGCCTATAGTCTCAGCTACTCAAGAGGCTGTGGCAGGAGAATTGCTTGAACCTGGGAGGTGGAGGTTGCACTGAGGTGAGATCGCCCCACTGCACACTCCAGCCTGGTGACAGAGCAAGACTCTGTCTCAAGAAGAAAAAAAAGAAAAGAAAAACAGGCCAGGTGCTTTGATTCTCACCTGTAATTCCAGTACTTTGGGATGCCAAAGAGGAATAATTTGTTTGAGGCTAGGTATTCAAGATAAGCCTGCACAACATTAAGCAAGATCTTGTCTCCAAAAAAAAAAAAAACTTTAAAATAAACAAAACCTAACCATTATGGTAAAACGACAGAGAAATATGGCTTCTAAAAAAACTGTAATGTAAGTCAAGAGTTTTAATTAGCCCATATCTAAGAATTATTCACCAAGAATAATTACCTCAAAGAAAATTTTCGTTTAATAAGTGCTATATTGAAACTGTACAAGATAATAATTTTCCTGTGATCTTGGGACTCAATATTTCCAACTGCTTCTGGTCTCAATATATTTAGAGTGAAAGTTTTTGACGGTATAGCACAAAGCAGTAATTTCTAATGACCAAGGGCTTATTTCCTGCAGCAAAATCCAGCTCCAAAACAAAGCTTTCCTATATCACACACTTAACAACCAGGATAGGAGCCCTCAATTCAGATGGTTAAAAATTATAATCACTTGAAATTAATGTTTTTCATTTGCATTGTCACACTATAAAATTTAAGTTGCTAAAAATTCCCCGAAGTGAAAACAGTTGCCACCAAACTGAAGCTACCCGTTCTCTCTTCCTTTATTCGTGTCTTTTAGTTTTCCCACAGGTACTAAAACACAACACCTCTTGACATGGTTTAAGTTGGGTTTTTCTTACATGTATCATCCTAAAGGGGAGAGGTTCCAATGTTCCAGCCATAATCACTACTAACGAAAGTACTGATGCCTAAATATCATGGTCAAGTCTGCTAATAATACTTTTTGGAAATCAAAAGGACTTTGATCTCGCAAAGTAATGATACAATTCTTCGCATGCTGGGAAGTGGCAAGGATAACAGCACTTCATGACATTAGTGCTTTCTCTGTACTCCTTCCCCTCAATTAATCTCCAATCTCCAGTTCCATCTGTTTTTAAACTCTAGAACACAGCGATCACTCGGGTTAACACAAAAAACTAAATCAATTCACCTCTTATTTAAAAACCAGTAACGAAACAATTAACAAGCAACTTACGTACATTTTGTAAGTATCTGAAGATGAGGTTCTGCACCACAATGGTTAAGGAAAAAATACAAAAGCAGCATAGACTCTATTCCCTGAAACAACTGGACGACTGTGCTCCGGTCTCACCTTTTCTTTTACTGAATGCGAAGTCTGGGGCTTATGTAAAGAAAAAGTGCCCAGCGGGGCACTCATTAGGGGTCTTGACCATCCCTCCCACTCTCATCCCCCTGGAGTTTCCCGAAACCATTATCTCCCGTTTTCATTCAGCACCTACTTGAAGTTCTCTTCCCTCCTTCCGCCGCCTCCATTCCTGCATTCCCGACTGCAGGGGTCCACCCAAGACCCCCTCCCCACCATCACGGTTCTCCAACTACCCGCGCTTTCTTCCCGTCTTGATCGCCCCGGGGGCTCATGGGATGTGGGTCCATAGTCCGCTCCCCCAGGCCCGCTCTCAGCCCGCGCCTCGGCATCCCCTATTCTAGCCCGAACCTCCTAGTCCTGACATCCTGCGTAGGATACGATGGGCTGCACCATAACCTTCTGCACTTTCTGGCCTTGGCCACGGTACGCCATGGTGGAATTTCACAAAGAGCACACCCGCACGCTGCCTCTGAGAGCAACTTCCGGAATAAAGAACCGGAAGCGGAAGTGCGTGGAGGTCACGTGGCGATCTGGGCGGCTCTTGGGAAATGCCCCACTAGCCAGTCGCTTTTCTCCACTGCATAGCCTCCGAGGGAGGCTAAACTGAGGCTTCCGTGCTGTGGAAGTTGGGCCGGTCCTACAGCGCCACCTGGAGGGAGGCGGGAGGAGGCGCCTTCGGTTGTATGGTGGCCGTGGCGGGAGGAGTGCCGTCGTGTCTCCATTTTCTTTTCTTTTTTTTTTTTGAGAGTCTCGCTCTGTCGTCCAGGCTGGAGCAGTGGCGCGTGCAACCTCTGATCCCCGGGTTCAAGCGTTTCTCCTGCCTCAGCCTCCCAAGTAGCTGGCACTACAGGCGTGCCCGCCACCACCCGGCTAATTTTTGTGTTTTTGGTAGAGACAGGGTTCCACCGTGTTAGCCAGGCCGGTCTCGATCTGCTGACCTTGTGATCCGCCCGCCGCGGCCTCCCAAAGTACTGGTATTCACCGGCGTGAGCCACCGCGCCCGGCCCGTGTCTCCAGTTTCTGAGTTAACTTAAAGAGCCCAAATCGTTCCACCGTGTATCTCTGTGTGTAAAACGAGTTAATTTCGTGCCTTTCCTGAAGTCTGTTTTGCTGGAGTTCAGGCTTGATAGCAGCGTTGTGGTGGAAAGGGTAGGGCAGCAAGAAGCCCGAACGTCAGGCCTCCCACTCCTGGCAGTCGGCCAGGGGCGGGCCGCATTCTAAAGCCAGACTCCGGTTAAGGATTCAGTTCTCAGCCGCTTCGTGGAGGGGTGTTCAGGTGGCAACGCAGGTGGCGATTTTCCGTGAAGACGCCGAAATCCACATGCTGGGCGTAAATCCAGCTCTTTTAGAGTTGTGTGACCAAGGATAAATCACTCAGCCTCCCTGTGTCTTGGCTTAGTTTCCCAAACGAAGATTAAGATGTATTTTCCTCAGGGTCTTGAAGATTCAGCGAAAGAATTGTCTTATGTGTGCACGCAGGCGTCAGGCAGTGTCAGAACATGTCCTTCCCTGGGTAACACAGCTACTAAGTGGAGGAGCTGGAATTGGTAGGTGTGCCTGACCCCCGAGCCCACCTCCTTCCCATTGTGTCATGGCTTGTGGCCTGGCAGAGATTTCATTTAGTTGGCATACCCATTTTTTGGAGGAAGAAACTTAAGTTTGGAGTTTTGAAAGGACTTGCCTACGGGAACACGGATTGGGGCAAATCGCAGAATCAAAATTAGCTTTTCTGAGGTCTTCTGTTTAATGGGGATAATGGTAATAACGACCTCAAAAAGGGGTTGGGTTGAAAGTGATTTTTAAACTACACAAAGCGGCCACTGGCGGTGGCTCACACCTATAATCCCAGCATTTTGGGAGTCTGAAGCAGGTGGATCACCTGAGGTCAGGAGTTCAAAACTAGCCTGGCCAACATGGTGAAACCCCATCTCTACTAAAAATACAAAACTTAGCAGGGTGTGGTAGCACACACGAATGTAATCCCAGCTACTCAGGAGGCTGAGACAGGAGGATCCCTTGAACTGTGGAGGTAGAGGTTGCAGTGAGCTGGGATCGCACTCCAGCCTGGGCAACAGAGTGAGACTCCCTCCCAAAAATAAATAAATAAAAATAAATATACTACACAAAGCTAGCAAATGCTTGGGCTATTTCCTTTAAAAAATTTCAGCTGGGTGTGCTAGCTCATGCCTGTAATCCCAGCATTTTGAGAGGCAGTCAGGAGGCTCGCTTGAGCCCAGGAGTTCAAGACCAGCCTGAGCAACATAATGAGACCTTGGCTCTACAAAAAAAAATTTAAAAATTAGCCAAGCATAGTGGTGCCCACCTGTAGTCCCAGCTACTCTGGAGGCTGTGGCAGGAGAATCGCTTAAACCCAGGAGACAGAGGTTGCTGTGAGCAGAGATCATGCCACTGCACTCCAGCCTGAGCAACAGAACCAGATCCTGTTAAAAAAAAAAAAAAAAAAAAAAAAAAAAAAAAAAAAAAAAATTCCATAGTTAGGCTTGGTGGTATGGCCTGTAGTCCCAAGTACTAGGAGAGGCTGAGGTGGTAGGACTGCTTGAGCCCAGCAGTTCAAGAGTGCAATGAGCTGTAATGGCACCTATAAATAGCCACTGCATTCCAGCCTGGGAAACATAGTGAGACCCAGTCTTAAAAAAGAAGTTCCCCCACCCAAACCCAGTAGAGTGTCATGTCCGACTTCAAGACAACATGTTTATTTATCCCGCCCCCTTTTTTTTAGACAGGATCTCCTACTGTGGCCCAGGCTGACATGCAGTGTGCAGTGGTACAATCTTGGCTCACTGAAACCTCCCCACCAGGGCTCAAACAATTCTCCCACCTCAGCCTCCCGAATAGCTAGGACCACAGGTGTGCATCACCACACCTGGCTAGTTTTTTTGTATTTTTAGTAAAGGCAAGGTTTTGCCATGTTGGCCAGGCTGGTCTTGAACTCCCAGCCTCAACCGATCCTCCTGCCTCAGCCTCCCAAAGTGCTAGAATTACAGGCATTAGCTGTACCCGGCCAGCATTACTTTTTTAAATCTAAGTACGTAATGTCTTTTTATTTGTTCAAATTTTCCTTTGATTTTTCCTAAGTTTTTAGTTTTCTTCATATAGGCCTTGTGATTTCTTAAGTTTAACCCTAGATACTTCTCTCTTCTTCTTAAAAATTGTATCGTTTCCTGAATTATATGCACTAGCTGGTTTTTAGGGAAAAAAAGAACGATAAATGAAAAACTACATAAAAATGATAAAATTTTGCTTGACTAACAAGTGAAAATAATAAAGGTCAAAGGATCTGGGAAAAACATGTTTGCATTCCATCTGAAAAATGACTGATTTTTATGTAAAGAATTCCTGAAAAAGAATGCTATTCTGGTTCTCTACTGATGTGTAAGATATATCCCAAAGCTTAGTAGCTTAAAACAACCACCATTTTAATTTGTGACTTCATGGGTCAGGAATTTGGGCTGGTTCTCAGCTGAGTGATTCTTCTGCTCCACAAGATGTATCTAAGGCTTTGGTGTTTATCTTTGGAAGACTGGCTTCAGCTAAGTTACTATCTCTGTGTAGCCTCAGCCCTCACCACATGGTCTCTCTGGAAGGGTAGTATGCTTTCTTATATGGGGGATTAAGGGTCTAGGAAACCAAGGTTGAAGCTACTAGCACTTTAAAAAGCCAAGCCTAGATGGGCGTGGTGGCTCACGCCTGTAATCCCAGAACTTTGAGAGGCCAAGGTGGGCAGATCATCTGAGGTCAGGAGTTCAAGACCAGCCCGGCCAACATGGCGAAACTCCGTCTCTACTAAAAATACAAAAACTAGCCGAGCGTGGTGGTGGGCACCTATAATCCCAGCTACTTGGGGGGCTGAGGCAGGAGAATTGCTTGAACCTGGGAGGCAGAGGTTGCAGTGAGTGGAGATCATACCACTGCACTCCAGCCTGGGCGACAGAGTGAGACAACATCTCAAAAAAAAAAAAAAAAAAAAAGACTGAAAATTAAAATTGGTGATGGACGATGTGAACAATCAGTTTGTAGCAAAGGAAAGACGAATGGTCTTTAAACGCCCAGCTTCACTCATAAGACAAAGGCTACATTCAGAATGTCTGTCATAAAAGAAAAAAAGAGAGGCAAACCAAACTCTACTGAAGTACTATGTCCCTTACTAGATTGGCAATGATGAAAAAATAGTGGTAAATTATGAAGCTCTATTTCTAGGTAGTTATCCTCCATATAAACTTACCTGTGTGGCATAATGTAATCATTACAGCATTGTTTAAAACACCAAGATGGGAAGCAACCTAAATGTCTATCAGTAGGGACTAGCTATTGTAAATTACTCCATCTTCATAGGGTGCAAATGTTAAGATTAAAGGTCTTTGTGTCTTGATATGAAATGATATTGAATATACATTATGAGAAAAAAGCAAGTTATAATATGCTTGAGATTTACTTCAGAATAACTCAGTGGAGCCAGCAGGGCCAGATCTCAGATGAGGTAAGCCTAAGGATTTAGCATTTTAGAAATTACAATCACAGGTTCAAGTACAATCTTTGAAAATGAGTGCCTCCTTAAATTGTGCCCAAGTACCCTGCTTGCCTCACCCTCGGCCCAGCCAAGGTCAGAATAGTGGGTGATGGATAGTTGGTATGATAAAGATGAAACAGGATTTGCCATGAATTTGTAATTGTTGAAGATGGGTGACTACGTGGAGTTTATTATACTTTATTCTAAATACATTTGATATTTTCTTTAATAAAAAAGGCAGGGTTCAGAATGTCATGTGTTTTATTAATGATATTGTATGGAAGTGTGTTCACTTTTACATGCCTAACGTATCTCTTGAAGAATACCTGAGACACTGACAGGAATGGAGGATGAAACATTTGTTTCCTTTTGTTATTGCAACTACTCATATATTCTCATAAAACTCATGACACCCCTAAGGTATCTGCAAACTGGGCTTGAGAATCACTGCCCCAAATAAACATACCCCTGAGAAAGGAGTCTGCCAAACAATATTTCAGAACATTCTTCCTCTCAGCTTGAAGTTTCTTTTTTTGTTGTTGTTGTTTTTTTTGAGACAGAGTTTCGCTGTTGTTACCCAGGCTGGAGTGCAATGGCGCGATCTCGGCTCACCGCAACCTCCGCCTCCTGGGCTCAGGCAATTCTCCTGCCTCAGCCTCCTGAGTAGCTGGGATTACAGGCATGCGCCACCACGCCCAGCTAGTTTTTTGTATTTTTAGTAGAGACGGGGTTTCACCATGTTGACCAGGATGGTCTCGATCTCTCGACCTCGTGATCCACCCGCCTCGGCCTCCCAAAGTGCTGGGATTACAGGCTTGAGCCACCGCGCCCGGCTCAGATTGAAGTTTCTTTCTTCCCAACCAGAGGCTTTGCAACTTACTGAATGGCTGTGATGATTCTTTACCATGCCATAGATTCAGACTCTGCAACATTTTAGCAGTAAAATCCAATACTTTAGTAACAGACTTTAGTAAATATG